GAGGGCTAGAAATGGAAGTTCTATGNGAGTTAGGACTTGTCTGTTCTCTAGATGGTGCTGGGAAATAGAGGTCTTATGTGAGTTAGGATCTGTCTATTTTCTAGGGAGAGTTTGGAAAAAAGGTTTTATGTGAGTTAGAACTGTCTTTTCCAGGGATTCTGTGGAAACACCAATGGTGGTTGGGTTATTTCGGATGACCTAGTGATTGGTCATGGATGTGATGACATTCCAGGTGAGGGGATGTCATGAGAACCACGAGAAGTGATTCTGGTCGACAGGTATTTATGAGGCATGTTACAGAAGGTGCCCCAGGGAACAAGTGAGGTTTCCTGGGTATACTTGAGGGGACAGGTGAGGTTCTCTCCAGGGAACAAGTGAGGTTTCCTGCATATATCTCGAGGGGACATGTGAGATTCTCTCCAGGGGACAAGTGAGGTCTCCTGCATGCCGATAGCTTAACGGACTGTGTGTCCCGAGAGTGAGAGGGGCATGGAGTATACCGATAGCCTGATGGACGGCGGTCCTGAAGGTGGGAAGGGTATGTTATACACCGTGATCTCCAGGGTGACGACCCTGGGAGTGTTAGGGGTGTATATGTATATGGGTATTAGCATAGCGTCTGTAATGGGATTATGAGTATGAGACTGGATGAGCTTCGGAGATCGGGAAGGATCTCAGGTGGTGCTGGCCGGATAGGGTCAGGAGTGTTGATGTGATTGGTGTCTAGTCTAGGGATTTTACTTGCNTTTGGGAACCTCGGTTCAGATGACCCTNGTAACTTATGTAGNNTNNTGGTCGTNCNTGTTCTTNTTTGATTGTTGCACGATCAATTGGTTCAACTCTGNGTCTACGGTTGGTCGGGCATGTTCTTGTTTGATTGTTGTGCGATCAATCGGGCAGGCTGGTCTGGACCAAAAAATGTTGCATTCTGGTGTGTTTTTGGGTGAAGCTGGTTGGGTTTCGGAAGGGAGTGTTAGCCTTAGCAGGGACGGTGTTGTGT